AAAAAAAACAAACAAAACAGAAATGTCCTGAAAGCTTTAATACACCATTGCTGTCTTTTTTTCCATTCTGTTTCCCACCCTATAACCTCCAGCTCAGCCCTAGATCTGTCTCAACTCTGTGAAGGGAGCTCCTTGCAATTCCATCCTACATCCCTCCTTAAAAAAGGATTTAATCTGTTGATAATGAAGGAGCACAGATGTTTCTAGCTATTACTTTACAACCAGTATTGCCTCCTTGTTCAGTGGTCACCTGTAAAACGTGAGCCAGGAGCCCTGTAGGTATGACCAACTGCTTTTATGTCTTGAAATACTGTTTTCATTTGTGTAATTGTGTGAAAAGGAAGCTTTGATACAAAATACAGAGAAGATAACACTATGAAGATGTGTTATTTGAATTTTTTTTCTTTTTCTGCAATTGTTACTTCTGCATTTATGATACTGAATGAGGGAGCTGATAAAGCAGTACAATATGAAGAGAAATGGTTTTTATTGTAAGGACAGAAAGGGACTGGGGAAATAAGAAGCAATTAACAGTATGTAATAAGCCTCCTAGATATTGAGCAGAGTATACTAATGTTCTTCCCAGAAGCAGATTTTGTAGGAATACCCCCTTCAGAGCCAGTCAGTGCTCTTGCATTTGGAGGTGTACTAAAAGCCCATGGAGACTTTCTGTCAACTGCATCTTGTTTTTGAATCATGCATTTTCTCGTGGAGGGATCCAAAAGCAAGGAGGAATCTGGGACATTGCAGTTTATTTATGGAGAGTAGCCAGGTTTTGTTGTATTTCAGGCTTCAAGTAAGGTATGTCTTAAGAGCAGATCTATCAGCAACATAATGCACCTCTCTTGGGGAGGAAGAACCACCACAAAATAGAGCAGTCCAACTTCACTAGAACACCGAGTACAATTAAGTTCTATTTCTGAGCTTGTTTGCAATACTCTATAAACAGATTCTGCAAATACTGGGTTTTTTTTCAAAAGGAAAGAAAACCTTTTTGTGCCTCTTTAAATTACACAGTGCTCTCCAACTCACATGACTTTGCAAAAAGTGTACCCTTTTCCATCTGGCTGAAGAGTCATGGGGAAGGTTCTTGAGCTGAGATTTGTCTGTAAAATTAAAAGGAATGTGATAAGTGGCATACAGTACTCATGGCATTGGTCTGCAATACCTACCAATCTTCTGGAGGCAGCACTTGACATGTGTGAGAAGTCTAGTCCCTTTTACAGCTCTTTATGATAATGTATAAACTCTAAGAATATTTGTTGGCTGCATGGAGCTCCACTGTTGGTGCTTATTGTGTCAGAGCCATCTCAGAGGACACTAGTGGCACTCATCCCCCATACTCTAAGGCAAAAAGAACTGAATTTAAGCAGATATTCTGCCTGACACAGAATATCCTTTGAATTTTGCTGCACTCGTACTGTTAGCAGCTTCTTTGCTAGGTTAGCAGCAGTGTTTTTTCTGATTACAGAAATAATCTTTATCCACTAGTTATGTATTTGTACAGAGAATCAAGTCAGAAAACGCTTAAGAATAAAAGTGTGCTAGAAAAGAGAATTTATGTGGCAGGAACAAATCGTACATGCACATAACAGTCTTGCCCCATTCTCTTTGCAAGTCCAAATTAGTTGACACAATTATCTAAGGTGAGTGAGAGAGCTGAGATAGGATGGGACCTCTGGAGGGCATCTAGTTCAGGGGTGCCTAGAGCAGGTTGTTCAGGCCCATGTCCAGTCAGAGTTTGCTTATCTATAAGGATGGAGACCCTATAACCTCCCTGGGCAACCTGTGCCAGTGTGTGGACACCTGGACAATAACAATGTCTTTTTCTTATGTTCAGAAAGAATCCACAGCCTTTAAAAACTCCACACAACGTCAGCTTAATTCAGGAGCAACTTCATCCTTGCTGTTTATTGGTTAATTCAGGAGCAACTTCATCCTTGCTTTTTGTTGATACAAATTGAAGAGCCATAATTCTGTTTACATCTTAATTAATTCCTGGGTGTTTGCAAGAGATGTGGTTACTGATGATCCAGTGGCATGCTGCCTAACCTGGAAAAATTCCAGCTGTGGTTAATAAGCATTTGCCACGAGAGGGCCTACACTGTTTATTTGAATGATTTGAAATAATTATATTTATTTACATTTCACTTTTTTTACTAAGTAGTGTTTACCTAATATTCATGTACTCAGCATCCAGGTTTGTTTGCTGAGGGAGGCAGAATCAGAGAACACACAGGGTCATATGGGTTCTTCATTTCTAGGTACTTGCATAAAAGTACTGGAATGATACAGGTAGATGAAAAGAAGACAAATCTTGATCAGACTAAGAATAGGTCCAGGGAAATGTGTTTTGGGTTGGGTTTTTTTTCTCTTACATCAGGGATATTGTCTTTACTAATGGAAAGAGATTAATGTTTAACATATGTAAGGGTCCCAGGAAAGTGAGGTGGTTATTTGTTGCTTTCCTGTGACTGCATCAATTGGCTAATCAGAAGTAGTAAAATAATATTAGCAGGCTGTGAATTTTTTTTCAGGTTTAGAAATGGGAACAGAGGAATCAGTGTTTTTTCAGTAAGCGTAGCACGGAAGTCAGCTGTTACTTATCAATGACATGATTCAGGCCTTAGCATGTGTGAAAATAAATAAATAAATGCTCCCCTTGATTTTCAGCCCCAGGCCTCCTGGGTCATCTCAGATGTGAAGTTTAACTACTGCAAAGTCCTTCTGTGTGATGGAGTGTCTTTTCCAAAATACTGACTGTATGTACAGTGCAGCCCCTGCTGAATAGCAATTTTGTGCATGTCCCAGGCATTTGATAACAAAAAGCACTGAAGAAATTGAATTAACTGCACATCTGTGATGGATCCCAACTGCCTTATCAGGGCTTTAGCTGAGCTGTAGCCCTTGCAGCACCTGTACTGCTAGAAACTCTCCTTAGACTCATTGGTGTGTGTGGTGCTGGGGGAGCTTAACCCTGGGTGAGATAGTGGCACTCTTTGCCTGGATGAGACCTGACATTCCTGACCTTAACAAAATAAGTATAGTCCAGAAAATACCTCAGTCCTTTGCCATCATCTCTGCAGCCTGAGCAGAAGTGGAGGTGGGATCACAGGTCTCTGTGTGTATCTTGGGCAACTCGGGTAAAATTGCCAGTGGCTGGTGAGTCCAGACACAAGAGTAAACTGTGTTTATTAAAAGTGCTAAACAGTTAAGGCTTGAAATATGGGTAGGATAAAGTTTTATGTTTTACTGTCATGCTGATATGTTATGGCACTGAAAAATTAGTTCTGTGAAGGACTGTTAGGTAACCAGAACTGAGGTAAACCTTGAGCTGACTGTAGAGAAAATGTGTAGCATTTCAGGTACTAAAGATACCCTTATGTTCTTCTTGTATATGATTAAGAAGTTAGGCACAAAGCTGCCTGAGCCCAAGGCTTTTCGACTGGTTTGTGACATTATCTGTGAACAGTCTTCTGAATTCCTGACCCTGCTTCTTCTTACCCAATCTCCCCCATTGTCTTTGAGTGATTAACTGTTGACTCATGCCTTGCAGTCAAGGGTGAAGTAATGTTTCCTGAGTCCTCTTATTCATCTTGGAATCTGTTACTTATAGTTGTAAATCCACTAGCTATGTGTGTATATCTGTCTGTCCATTCATCCACATCTTTATCTGTGCTTCCTTGTCTGTAAAAAGAATCCTGTTGAGGTCTTTATGAGCACTCAGAATATAACCATTCAGTTTTCACTGTTCTATTATTTTTGTTCCTCTAAGTCCTTTGCTGTTTCCTGAGTTGGTTTATGTGCATTACTACATTATGATTAAGCGTTAGATAACCATAAAAATACCTGAAAAAGACAGAGGCTGTGTCTCCAAAATATTCTTTGGGTTTAGGGATGCCTTTTCTCATAGGGGAGGTGGTTCTTCTGGGCTGCTATTTTAGTCTGCTGCTCCCAGACTTCCTTCTGTACTATCTGCAACCAAATACTTGTAAATAAAGCGAGCTCCGGTTGATGCTTGGCAGAGGAAATTGGTTTTGTCAGGAAATGGGCACACTTCATGTGGATTGTTCTCAAAGTAATTTTTGGAAACAGAAAAGCTAGGGGAATTATCAGTTGTAATCATAGATGGTGGCCCCACATTGTCATTAGAGCAGCAGCAAAGGCTGCAAAAGAGCCTTAATCTCCTAGGTCAGTCAAAGCAGTGTGATGTAACGAAGCGTTGGCCTCGCAGCAGATACCATGTGCCTACCTTATAACCATATCAGCAACTGTGACCGTTTACTGTCACTAAAAATGAGTCTGATGGCAGTTTGGGCTCTAATTGCAACATCTGTGGTCTGTAGCAGACTGCTGTCTCATACAGATGCCCTGCAAGGCATACAGTATGTGGAAGTAATATTAAGAGTGCCATCTAGGATAGTAGAATAAAAATGAGCATCTAAAATAATGAATGTTTCTTTAAAAAGTACAGCTATTTGCAATTTTAAAAAAAAAGCCCAAGCAGCAGTAACAATCTCCGATGAAGGGGAAAGCAATTTGCAAGAGACTCGTTAATCTGCATGACATGAATGTTTGAGTGAATGAGGGGAGTGAAAAATAACAGACATAAAATGACTTCACTAATTAATTAGTCCGCAGCTTCTCTTATGCTTTCTGGAGTATTTTTGTCTGTCATTTTGAGTTGGAATTTGTCACATTATAGTTGTTGGTTCAGGTGCAAAAGTTTTACTGAAAACACAGAGCATTACAAGAGATGAAGCTCCTTTGACTAGGTGTTGATGATGATGAACTCCTGGCAGGGAGACAAATGACTAATTCCTCTTGTCAGTGTTTAACTGCTATAATGTGTCTGTTGGACAAATACAACTGGTCTTTCAGAAAACAATACAAATTAGCCATTCCAGAAAAATCACAACAGGGAGCACCACTTAATGTTGCATCTCCTTTGTCATAAAGCACCAGATGCTAATCTTGTGTGTTCTTTTTCTCTCCTGTAGGTGCCTGAAATTATAAGCTCTATTCGTCAAGCTGGAAAAATTGCTCGTCAAGAAGAGTTTCAAAATAATCTCTCTGATGTTGAAGACCCTTTTGCCAAAAAGTTTGAGGTGCTGTTCTGTGGACGGGTGACAGTAGCACATAAAAATGCACCTCCAGCACTCATAGATGAATGCATTGAGAAATTTAATCGTGCAAGTTGTACAGAAAATTCAGATTTCGACTCGTCATCCCAACAACATGAAACTGCCAATAACTTCAGAGGCTTCTCTTTCAGCAACAAATTTCGGTCTGTCTTTCAGCCCTTGGTCAGCGAAGAGGAGGAGAGAAGGCCAATTAGAAAATCTTTTTCTCAGCCTGGGCTTCGTTCCTTTGCTTTTAAGAAGGATTTCCAAGAGGGAAGCCATAGGAGTAACAGCTTTATCAGGTCTTTTGAAGAAGATGCAATTTCACTGAACCTAAAAAGTCAACTTATCTATGGACACAGTGTTGTGCAGCCAACTGACATTGCAGAAAACCGGACGATGTTGTTTACGGTAAAGCAAGAGTTGCAGCTCCTGGTGGCATTTTCACATCTTGGAGTTTGGAGTGGCAAACACCAAAGCAGATGTTCTGACACATTGCAGTTACTTCTTTAATAGCTTGATTGCAAATTACCAAAGCTTAACTTGAACTTGCCTATTTCTCTAGAGAGCATTACCAGATAGTGTAAATTGTTTTACATATTCAAAAGAGGTTTATATTAAATAGTTTAAAACAGCACTACCTGAAACATTGGGCTTCTAAAGAAAGCTTTTAGAAAGCTACTGTTACATGTTAGCAGGTAGTTATGCAGTTGCAAAATGGTATGTACAGTTACACTAACTAGTAACAGCAGAAATAAATTTCCAGTTAACCTGTAACTAGAGCAGAAGGACCAAACCATGACTGAGAGCTAGTAGACTTTGTGTCCATGATAAGCAGGGTAATTAATGAAGGTTTTTTTGCTGCCAGCAATGTCTTTATAATGATGGAGTAGTATAATAACTTCCTGGGCTACTCCACACATGCCTCCAATCCTGTCCTGCTTTGGTGTGGCTAGCAGTGCCTCTGCCTTCATAGGTGAGCAGCAAAAGTATTTTCCAAGACGTGAGAAGCAAGTAAGGAATGTGTTATTTGCTCCTCTTATAATCCTCATGATAGATAAAATGGTTTATATAGCTTATCTATCTTGTGTTGTATGAGCATAACACTAACCTGGAGCTGATATTGCAGTGGCTGACAGTCCTAAGGTCATCTTGGATCTCTCAGCTGCTGTTGGGGCTGGGGGTTTTTAAGGGCAGGAACAGAGTGGTGTGCAGTTCCAGCAGGTTTTTAAAGGGGGGAAGGAAGAGCTGCTTTAAGAAGGATCACTATAGTGTTATATCTGTAAAAAATAACATGCAGAAAAAGTTGTCATTAGCTATACCTGATTTAAAGCTTCTATTTGGTTGTGGCAGGCTGGTATTAGAGAAGTGGAAGAAGGTGGAAAGAAATTTTCTTCCCCCTTAAAAAGAAATCCATGTTTACCTTCTTCCCCTGAGCATGTATTTCACACAGAAAATATAGACACCCTTTGTAATAATCCCAAATTTCTAAACAAATTCTGAGTTCATTATTAATTCATGACATAGATTTTGGAGATAGGGATATTATAGATGGATGGCTTGAGTCCAGATCCTCTTACTCCAATTAGTACATTTTAAATTTATATTAAATAGGTGCAACAGTTCTCAAAGACACATGCAGGTTCAGCCTGAATATAACACGAGTCACCTTCTGACAGGCACATTTCCAAATTGTGGGGCTCTACTGCTCTGCCTTTCTGTCTTGGGTTGCTTTTTACCAGGGAAGATATAGTTTAGTATGCACAGCTGTGTTTTTTTTGCTATTCAACCGGTCTAAATTCAGCTGAATGTAAGGAAATGAAGTAACTGTAGTTTGTGCCTTCAGTACCCCCAGTGAGCAGCTTGTGGCAGAG